GCAGGAATGTCCTTACAGAGTTGAACATTTTGATAACTTCATGGCTTTTGTAGCTGAAAGTATACTTAAGAAATTAAGTGCCAAAAAACAGATGGAAGAAATCAGAATAATAAAGAACAGGATAAGATAGTATGGATGCTGACTCAGCATCCATACAATTTTAGCTTTCATGAAGTGTAACTTCGAATCACATCAGTCAACATGTGGAAATAAGGACAACTAAATGCGCAAATATAACACTTTGTTTCTATTTTGTTTCTTAATGTCTGTCGGTGCCGCTCATCTTACACTCACACAGCACCCTATGCATTCAGAAACCATAGCCCATATTATAATGAATGCATACTTGCTAAAGAAAAAGCCCTTTAAACCATGACTATTGAGTGTGGTATAGTTTAATATTGAATATTTTGATTTTAATTTCAGTTTATGAGGACAAATCAGCCAACCTGTTTGGAAACAAACAGGAGATGATACAAAGCCTAGAAGGGCAACACGAACAGGCAGGGTGTAGTGAGCAGATGAACTCGCATCCGTCTAACTGAGGGAAGTGAGCAGACTGTAAAGGCCAGAGACTGGGACATAACAAGCAACAGGTGAAAGCAATGAATGATAATCAGTCAAGATTTTTATTTGCCATTTATACATAAACAGACAGTCTAGGCATATAGGAATTCTTGTGCAGCTCTCCTTTGGAGTCAGGTAAGGAGTCAAAAGCCAGAAGAACACTTAGTCTTAAAATAAAAAAGTTACATAAAGGCAACAAAGCATAAAAACCGCAATACACAAAAATAGGGTAATGGTATTTTCCCCCGTGAACTTCAAATAACACACTTAGTAATTCACATGGTGGAGTTGGATATGTCATTACACTTGGTGAAGTAGTGAGGGGTTATAACATACTAAAACTCAATTTATATTCAGGCTTGTTTACATTGCTTGGTAGAGAATGTCCTGCTATTATTCAGGTCCCACAAGAGTACTTTGTTGATGAGATGCTCTTACAAAAATACCAAGTGGAACATTTCTGTATTATTAATGTGCATGTCTAGTAAGGGGTTATTGCACATATATTCTCAAATTTCTCACATTTTCGTATTTGCCCTCAGTCTTATTGCAGCAGGGAAAAAGCTGTTGTAATGTCTTGTTCTGTGTGTGATGATGCTGTCCGCCCTGCTGTGCCTGAGGCTGTAGGTGCAGTTTATATGAGCAGAGTCTGAGCAGAGTGTGAGCTGGGTGGTGTGGATCCCTGATTATGTTCTCTGTCCTTTTACGACAGTGCTGTGTATATAGTGTGTCCATAGCAGGGAGTTTAGTCCCAATGATCCTCTCTGCAGTCTTTATGACCCTTTGAAGAGCCTTCCTCTCTGCCTGTGTGGTGTTACCATACCAGACTGTGATGCCAGTAGTGAGGATGCTCTCTACCAGTCCTCTATAAGCCTGGGTGAGAGGGCAATGGTTTAGCCCAGCTTTTCTGAGCTGCCTGATGAAGTATAGCCACTGCTGGGCTTTCTTCACTGTGACAGCTCAGTTCACCTCAGGTCAGATGTCACCTGCAGGCCCAGGCCCTCTCCACCTCAGTCCTTTTGATGGTCAGAGGCAGCAGAGGGGAGGGGTTCTTCCTGAAGTCTACTATTATTTCTTTTGTCTTGTTTATGTTGAGGATGAGGTCATTCTCCTCTCCATAAACAAGAATGTCATTCAACAAGCTTCTGTAACCTGACTCCTCTCCCCACTTGATGAGGCCCAGAATGGTGATGGTGTTGTCATGTTTGGAGACACAGTCGTGGGTGTACAGGGTGAAGAGTTTGGGGCTGAGACAGCAGCCCTGCGGTGAGCCTGCGGGGATAGTGAATTCAGCAGACACCCACCCTCCCATTCTGACCGCCTGTGGTTTTTCAGTCAGAAAGTCCAGAATCCAGTTAAAGGTGGGAGTTGGTACACCGAGGTCTGTCATCTTCCCAATCAGCCTGCCTGGGCCAATGGTGTTGAATGCAGAACTGTAATCCAGGAAGAGCATCCTAGCATACATACTGCTGTTGTCCAGGTGTTTCAGTTTATGGAAAAAAGGCAGAGCCGTCACATCGTCCTCTGATCTGTTGGGGCGGTAGGCAAACTGGAGGGGGGGTCTACAGTGTCCGGGACCATGTGGTTAATGTGTGTGTGAGGACCAGTTTCTCTAAGCACTTCATGCCAACTGATGTGAGCGCCACTGGCCTGAAGTCATTCAGAGTGGATGTGTCTGATGTCTTAGGGACCGGTATGATGATGGATTAGTAGTAATATGTTAGAGTAATGTAATTACTTTGGTCAGAAATGATGAAATTGAGTAAATTCTTAGCTACTAATCCAAGAAATGTTTTTTGACATGTTAGGTCTGCTGCTGTGTTGCTGGGGGTTTAATGGTGGTTTGATATAAATTGGTCTCAGTGAGGACATATTAGCTTGGCATACTTGCCGGAGTTATGGGGAGGCAGTTATCTGCTGCCAAAACACCAATCTATGGCTTTTTTTTTTTTTTTTGATAAAGTTTTCACTTGAAGACAAACTGATTAAAGTTAAGACTTTGGTGAACACTCCTTCAATAGAAACCTCAGATCTAGTCTGTCTTTAATCCTTGAGGTCAAGCCATTTAGACGAGTTTGGTGAGCCTGTGCTGATTGTGAGCTCAGCAGACACCCGCCCTCCCATTCTAACTACCTGTGGTCTTTCAGTCAGGAAGTCCAGAATCCAGTTACAGATGGGAGTTGGTACATCAAGGTCTTTCA